TTTTAGTTTTAGTTAAGTATAATATACCTGGTAATAATGAAGTATGGACCAGGGTTATTATAGTTAACTAAAACTGAAAATGAAATTAAAACCAATTTTAAAAATTATCTGAAATAAACTTAAGTGAAATATAATAAAACACCTTATACTTATTTTAAATGTAATATATTTTATAATGTAATAAAAACTATATAGATATATATATATATATATATAAAACAACAACAAAAATAATGACAAAAACACAAAATGACACTAATAATAATGCTAAAATAATAATTTTAATTACAATTAAAATGCAAAATAAAAAGGATAAATATAAAAATTAGAAAATTCTAAATTAGTATCTGAATGATAGTAAAATAACGCTGCACACAGCGTAGGACTGATAGGGCTTTCTAGACATGTCATGTCAAGCACATTGCATTGTGGGATAGTGTGCTGCATATTTGGGCAAGTGCAGCAGGACAGTTTGCATGCTGTGCATGCTGCAGGAACAGGAGTGTGCTAGTCTGAGCAGTGACACTGTATCCTCCGTGTTCAGTTTGTCCTGATCAGCAGATTTTGGGGATATACTGTGGCTTTACTCTGCCGCACACAAACGAGAGCAGCAGCTACCAGGTCTGTGGTAATGCTCTGCTGTGTGGTTTGTGTTTGTCAGATCTATCTTCAGTCACAGAAGCGCACCCACACGCTGACGGTGATGCTTTGGCACTCGCTGCAGATCAGCAAAAAAGCAGATCTGTTTCTCAGCAAAGCTGCACTTTCTAGATGAGTTCACAGCGCAGACGACTCCTGGCTCCGTTACTATCGAGGGGACAAGGTGTCAAGCAGCACTCTCTCCAAGTCATGTCACACACCCCGTAAAACATGTTGAGAGATGTGGATGTCATCCAGAAACATGTGACCCTGGAACACAAAACCAGTCATAGGGGTCATTTTTTATGCATCATCTGGAAGCTGAATAAATAGTTTCCATTGATGTATGGTTTGTTAGGATAGGACAATATTTGAAAATCTGGAATCTGAGGGTGCAAAAAAATCTAAATATTGAGAAAATCATCTTTAAAGTTGTTCAAATGAAGTTCTTAGCAATGCATATTACTAATCAGAAATTAAGTTTTGATATATTTACGGTAGGACATTTACAAAATATCTTCATGGAACATGATCTTTACTTAATATCCTAATGATTTTTGGCGTAAAAGAAAAATGTATAATTTTGACCCATACAATGTATTGTTGACTATTGCTACAAATATACCCCAGCGACTTAACACTGCTTTTGTGCTCCAGGGACACATATAGTGTGACATCTTTTTATATTTCATTACCTCTCTGAAGAGCGTTTGGTTTTATGAGCTAGTTTCACCATTCGTCTTGGTTTCCTCTGAGAGTTGATGTGTTGTCAGTCTTATATAATGAAGCAGGGGCACGTTTTAATTAACGCACTACCACTCGTACAGTTTCTGCACTATATAATGTGTGTACTGTGCACTGTATGCACGCTTTGTCCGTATGAACCTGGATGATTCACTACATTTGCCAAAATGTGCAGTATACACGAGCGCACGATGCAATGCATACTGTATCCCACAATGCAATGCACTCATTCAACGTGACCTTTTATTTACAGTAGAAGTGCTGTCAGCTCCATTATTCAACAGACTGACAAATGTTGCATGTTACAAGCTTGGTTTAAAATGTAAAATAACTGGATGCCATCGGCTGAATTGGGTGTAACATGAGGTCATGCAACAGCAATATAGCATCTGTACATATGAATAGTTTTGCTTTTTAAAACAGAAGGCAGTATATGCAGCAGCAGGAATATATACAGTTCTACCAAACATGACCCTATTTGCAAACGGTGCCGAGTAACTAATTACACCTAATTTGGATTACATAATCAGAACAGAGACGGTGAAGGTTTTGGAAAATTACATTATACTTAATTTAAGCGCGTGCTCATAGCGGTGTAATTTTTTTCCCCAGTTAATTTGGCTGCTAGTCATGAGCCACATAATTCAGAAAATGCTTTGACATTGCTTTATGAAGTCGGAGACTGAACACCAAATATAATTGCCAAAAAAGCGAAATCAAGAGTTTTAAATTAGAAGCCATTACAGAGATGGATTTGCTTGTGATGGATAAATCATGAGACGCTTTCATTCGGTTCTCTGCTGAATGGACAATCTGCTCAAAAGATGATGTTGCGAGCTTAATTGGAAATGCAGATGCATCTCTTTCTCCCAGAAAATGAACTATAATTGTTGCTTGACGAAATGCTTATTGAGCCCAGTGTGATTCAGGTGAGCATGCAGATAAAAGCACACTCATTTACTGATATTAATGCACATTATCGGAGACTACTTCAGCGCAGTCGGAGTCCATACTGCATTCTGAATAGAGTCTCCACTCAGGTGTAATTTCGCTCAGGATTGAACTCATCCGACCTGCAAAATCTCACTGAACTGGAACATGCAGTCGCTCACCATCATCTCAGCATCCCGTGGAGATCAGACGGTTGCAAAGAAACATTACAGCGTCAAAAAAAATGATCTTAGAGGAAGTGGGAGCAAATGATCACCTTTCCCGCAGATTAAAAACACTTGTTACAATCCAGTTCCTCAGAGGAGGTGACACTAACCGCTCTGACGGGTTTGATACGCTCGTTAACTCAAGC